ATATTCTTAATTTCTTATGTGGAAATAATATTTCATTCCAGTAATGTACCACAATTTGTTTAGCTATTTCCAAACTGATGGGGATACTTTTTTCCAGTTCTTTGCTACAACATAAGGGGCTACTCTAAAGATTTTGGTGCTAGTGAAACTTTTTTTCTGTCTCTGATCTTGTTGGAGTATAGGCTAAACAGTAGTATTTCTGGGTTAAAAGGTATGGATGTTGTACTCAGTTTCTTAGCATAATTTCAGATTGCTCTCCAGAATGATTGGACCAATACATACAGCTCCACCAGGTACATATGTGTACCTGTGTTTCCATAACCCGTCTGACATTCATTACTTCCAGGTGTTGTTATCTTTGCCATTTTTCTGCATGTGTAATGAAATACCAAATTATTTTGGTTTACATTTCTTTCATTACTAATGATTTGTAGCAATTGTTCATACAGTTGTTAATAGTTTGGGATTCTTCATTAGAGAACTATTTATTCATATACTTTGACTTCTTATCCATTGAAGAATGGATCCTGATCTTTTATACTCATTTAACTCCCCTATATAGCTTGGATATCAGGCTCTTCTCTGAGGTGATTTGGCTTATTTTTTTTTTCTAATTGACAGCCTTCCTTTTTGTCTAGTTGTGTTAATTTTGTTCACGTAAAAGCTCTTCAATTTCATACTTATTTTGTATTTTGTGATTGCCTCTATGCTTTGGGTCAGAACTCTCTCCTTAGACTTAGCTATAAAAAGTAATAGATCTGATTCTCTTCTAATTTTTTTATGGTGTGAACTTTAATATTAATGTAATATATCCATTTAGAGCTTCTTGTTTTATATGGTATTAGACCTTGGTTTAAGCCTAAATTTCTCCCAAACTGTGCTCCAGTTTTCCCAGGAGTTTTTGTAAAATTATGTACTCAGACTTACCGAATACCGATTTATTAAGTTCAGTAGCTTCTGGTCCTTCCTTAGTCTTTTCCATTCTTTTATTTTTTAACTGATACCAGGTTGTTTTGATCATTACTAATTTTGTGTATAATTTAATGTCTGAAAGTGCTCTTTCTCCTTTACTCCATTCTTTCTCTTTTCCATAATTCCCCTTGAGATTAGACCTTTGGTTCCTGTAAGTAAATTCTGTTATTTAATTTAGCTCTATAAACTTTTCTTTTTGTATTTTAATTGGTATAATACTAAACCTATACATTAATTTAGGTAGTATCTTCATTTTTAATATATTAATATGACACAATCATAAGCCATGAATATCCCCCAATTATTTAAGTTATTCTTTATTTAAAGAGTGTTTTATAATGGTATTTAAGTCTTGAACGTGTCTTGATAGATTGACTCTGAGAATTTTTTTTGCATTTCTTAGCTCTTTTGAATTTCTATTTTTTCTTCCTCGATTTTGTTATTTCTTTATACAAATAGTGTTGATTTGGGGGTATGTATTTACTAACCTGCTACTTTACTGAAACTATCAATTTATTCATTAGCTTCCTTTACTGATTATCTGGAGTTTTCTAAGTAAACCATCATGTTTGCAGCAAATAGAAATTGTTTTCTCTTTGCCTATGTTTATGCCTAAAATTTCTTTCAATTGTCTTATTGATATCAGCATTTCTAGAACTATGTCAAATTACAGTGAATAAAGAAGGCATCTTTGCTTTATGCCTGTGCTTATTGGGAAGGCTTCCAGTGGTTCCTCTTTATAAATAGATTTTCAAATTGTACTTACATGAAAAAATGGACCTCCTATGTCCTTTGATAGGATTTTTTTTCTTTTTTTTCCTTTCCTTTATTCCTCCTTTCTTTCTCTCTTTTTTTTTTTTTAAGAAAAAGCCAGTGTTGTAGTTTGTCAAACATTTTTTCTGTATCTGTCAATATAATCACGTGTTTTGGGGTGTTTTATTTTTCAAATGATGGATTTGCATTGTTTCCTAAAGTTGAATTCTTCTGGCATCTCAGGTATAAATCCAATTTGATTATAGTGAATGCTTTTAATACACACACATGCAGATATTGCTTTAGTCTTTTTAACTTAAATTTTAAAAAATGGGAGTTTTCATCACTATCCTATAGTTTGCAGATTTTGTTCTTTTCCCCTTTTTTGAAAACTGGACACCATTTGTTCTTCTTCAGTCTCACCATACTCACTCCATTCCCTAAATCTTTGAAATCTCATGGAGTATGATGCAGGAATCACATCAGCCAGTTCTTTCAGTGCTGAATAATGTCATCTCTCTAGGCTACTTGATTTGAATACTTATCTATCATCTTCTCTTGGGTACGACCTCCCTGTTAGTCATTTCTCTTCTGTCATTTACAGTGCAAAGGTCAATCCTCTCTGCAGAAAAAAAGCCAAACCAAAATAAGAATGGAGCATCTCTGGCTTGTTTCAGTTGTCAGTCACCATACCATCCATGCCAAGTTGTGGTCCTATCCTTTCTTTGATCTTCCTTTTTTTCTCTTATGGATCTTAAAAAATGACAACAACAACTCTTTTCTTATACCTAGCTTACCTTTCCAGCCCTACTTCATTTTTCTGTACCATTCCAAACACTATTTTTGCTCTATTATGGATCCCTGCTTACTTACTTTGTGCATCTTTTACAAATCTCATTTGGTTGGGTGTCCACATTGGCCTCTTTAACCAACTCGTATTTTCTTCCTCATTAGGATAGTTTCCTATCAGTATCATTTTGGAAGAATTTTCCAATTTCTCCTGCATTGATTTTCTCTGTAGAATCCTACTCCAGGTGATTCTATCTGTTATTTTTCCTCTGAACCCTTTGTAATCTGCCCTCTCCAAATCTAGGGTTTATGCTAGACCATGCTGATCTTTCTTTTTTTTAATTTTATTTTAAATTTTTAGGCAATGGGGTTAAGTGTCTTGCCCAGCGTCACACAGTTAGTAAGTGTCAAGTGTTTGGTCTGAGGCCAGACTTGAACTCAGGTCCTCCTGACTTTAGGGCTGGTGCTCTATCCACTGCGCCACTTAGCTGCCCCTATGCTGATCTTTCTTCACCCTCTCTTTCACAAACTCTAGAAGCAAGCAATCACTTTCCTCAAGATTCCCAGCCTTTCCAGTCAAATAACCAAATTCCTTCCTGTTAGTGAGAATGGGATTCAGAATTAAAATTCCCTTTGTTGGTTCTACTGCCTTTTCAAAGTTGAATTTATCATTAGTGCAAACAAGAAGTTATTAGATCCTCGCCTCTGAGTAAAGAGAGGGTCCCAGGAGGTAAATGAAGTCTGCCATCACTACTCTACTGTGCTTCTGACACCTCACTAACCATCTGTTTCCTGGACTCTCTAGGTCCTCTTTTGTTCCAGGTAGTCAGTCCGGAATGGGAGAGTGAGGTTGGTAACTTTGTGCAGCTCCGCCTCACTTAAATACGATTCACAGGCAAGTCAAGATATCGCCCACAACGTCATTGGTCCTCTTCCACAACAAAGGATGCACGATAACAACCCAAGTCTTACTGTAGTTTTCAGTTTTAATAGCTGAACAAATTTTACGTATTTAGGGTTTAAGCTTAAAATTTAAAGCACTGCCCTGACTGTTGATATCACCTCTATTAATACCTAAATTATAATTTTCTTCCAAATTTTCATTTTCCCTGAGATTTTTTTTTTAAGTCAGCAATGATTTAGTACTGAATATTTTAGCAGAGGAGTGTTTGGGGTGAGATTAAGGAGAAGATTGTGCAGGGCGTGTATGGAATCTGTTAACCTTGTGATCAATTCATTAGTCCTCTATTCTAACTTAGTTTACATAACATTTTCCCTGTAGACAAATGTAAATTAAGCTCTCAATTATATTTCTAGTAACGAAATTAACATAATGGCATCCCATTGACTGCAGAGTACTAGGCAACCATTTTAGGGACTTTATTTATTATTTGATCACATCTCACTCACCAGGGAATGGGGATAAAGAAGAAGAGGATTTTTCAAACCATTAAATCTTTATGTATTTTATTTTCCAATCTGGAGCCAATATACTCTCTGATTGCTCTATATGCAGATAGGATTTTTTCCCCCAACTAATCTAAGTGAAGCACTTTCTCAAAAGTCCCTTTGCCCCATATATGAAAAAGCAATTTGTTTGTTAAGTACCTGGGGAAAATAGTTTTGACAGCCTCAGCTCAAAACCCATAAAAACATGGGAAATTGGCAAAATGTAGGCTTTTCATATTAAATCAAGATAGACAGCTGCAGCATACACACTGTTGGGTTTCGTTGGGATTTGTATAGTAATTATTCATTTAATCCAAAAGTGAGCAAAATGGTATAATCCCTTTTAATTGTACGAACATAAATTATGTGGCTTAAGGAGCTAGGTCCCAATGCATCTTCCTATAAAAACACACAGTAAAGGTTAGCATTTCCATGTTAAAGCTAACAGACTTCTTCCTGAAATGAGTTGTGGCCTACTTTTTAGAAGTGTTTGCTAGTTTGCATTAGTTTGTTAATTTGCCTTCCTTTTAAGGGGCTGTAGATGGATACAAGTAGAATGTGAGCTCTTTGAGGGCAGGGGACAGCTTCATTTGTTATCTTCTTCATCTCCCTTGCTTAGAATACTTTTGTATATTTTTGCTGAGAACATAGCTGTTTGTATATTGTCTCCCCCTTAAATTATGAGTTCCTTGAGGACATGTACTGGGTTTTTCCCTTTCTTTGTATCCCCAGCACAGGACTTGCCACAGAATAAGCCATTGCTGTCTTGATTTTTCTCGACCGGCACACATGAATTACTTAGTAAAAGCCTGCTGATTTCCTTCTTGAGCTCATTTGACAGATGACAAAACTGAGGCAAACAGGGTTAAGTGACTTGCCCAGGTCACCCAGCCAGTTAGTGTCTGAGTGGGGATTTGAACTCGGGAAGATGAAATCAGCCCGACTCCGGGCCCGCGCTCTGTGCACTATGGCGCCACCTAGCGGCTGCCGCAGTAAGCGTTTCCATTCTTCCAGCCCTTCGTAATTTCTTCTTGCAGAACCTACAATAAGATGTGGGGGGAAGCCCAACAAGCCCTCAGCTGTCTGCTGGAGGGAGAGTCCGAGAAGGCGCTGGAGCCGCCCCAGGACCAGGTGGTGATCTTCCAGATGCTGGCCACCTTCTACATCAAGTACGTGCAGATCTTCCGCCACCTGGAGAACGCCTACGACCAGATCGTGCACCCGCAGAAGCGCATCCTGATCCGCCAGGTGCTGGACGCAGTCATGGGCCGCATCCTGGAGCTCAAGAACGAGATGGTGGAGCTGGAGTTCTCCGAGTTCCATTACTTTGATGACATTCTGCAAGACCTCAAACTGTCTCCGGTAAGTTGTCCCTTTGTCTGGCGCTGTCTCCGTGTCTGTCTGTGTCTCTGTCCTTGTGTTCGTCCTTCTGTGTCTCACCGTCCAGTCTGTCTGTCTCTCTGTATTAAGAGCCTACTTTGTGTCAGGCATTTAGCTATTCACCGGCAATACAAAACCAAAAAATGACAGTCCTTCCCTTCTCCAGCTCCCATTTTATTGGAGAAGTCACATGGATGCATATCAATAAATGCAAACTATGGAAAGGGTCGCTACAAAGTAATTTCCCAAGGATGGAGGGCTCTAGAAACTGGGAGGAGGGATGGGATTTTTATGGAAGGTAACCCTTGAGCTGAATGTTGAAGGAAGGGAAGGTAGGAGCTCCCTAAAGTAGAGGTGAGGAGGGAAGGAGCTTTGTAGGCATTGTGGACCACAACATGGAAGGAAATAGTGCATAATGAATTTGGAAGGGGTGGCAGGAACGAGACAGTGACGGGCTCTCGGTGCTTGGTCCCAGAGGCAGTGGGGAGCCATTGGATGTGGGTACTTTCTTCTCTGTGTTCCTAGAATTTCGAATAGTGAGTATTTAATGAACACTTTAGTGGAATTGTTAGCAGACTAGATAGAATAAAGCTATTTTGTTGTGATTTGCACTTTACATAGAGCAGAAACTGGAGAAATAATTATACCATTTGTACTTTGCAGTCATAATGATAGCATCCTTAAGAAACAGGCCTAAATGTTTGGGTCTAAAAAGAATGTTCTCAGCAGGGAACGATCTTTAGCCAATTTCTGAACGAGAATCCTATTTGTAGTTCTTCAGAAAGGACATTAATTTGGTAGTTTAAATAACATCCTGTATTTTAATTGCAAGTATCAATATATAGAAATATTGTCTTGTGTTTTGTCCCTGGTGCGAGGCAGAAAATGTGTCTCACTCACAGCACAAATGACTTTAATGAAGGCTTCGGCTTTCAAACAAACAAATCATTAGTGTTTATAATAAAAGTATAAACAGGGCCCCAATTAATGAAGTTTCTAATGAAACTTCCCTGTGGCAGACATGACAGATGTACTCTTGGAAACAGGACAGGAAAATGATAGGGAAAATAACTTAGCAGTATTCATATCCTGATAGCTTTAAAACATTTACTTCTCCCAATTTATTAAAACGATTCAATCTTACGAGTCAAATAAAATCAGGAGATGGTCTTGATGTTTTGCTTTAAATAAATACTCACTTTTAATAATACCTGGGTGAATTATTTCATTAACAACCCAATTCTCATCAAAATGATAAAAATATCATAATCAGAAATGCATTCTTAATAAATTGAAACATCAGTGATATCAAGTAGCATTTTTAATGCTAACTTAAAAATCACATAATTATTGAGTATATATTATCAGCAAAAATGATTGAAATGATCCTAGAAATTTATAATTTTTCAAGGTCTCCTTACTTTTTAAACTGGCTACATTCCGAAATGAGCTCATCTTCTAATGTAATTTCGATGTGGCGAATGAATGCTCAGTATATTCATATCACGCACTGAGACTTTGGGGGAATGATTCAGTTGTGCTTAGGTTCTGTCAAGTAGTTTCTTGTTTCATGTGGCAGCTGAGAGATGCCAGGAAACCTTTTTCCTCCTGTGACTCTAAAACTTGGTTCCAATGTAGTTGTTTGGAGTTCAGTGATTTGGAATTAGTGAGAGTTGTCCCTGGGGCTGCGCTGAATTTTCCTTTGTTTAACAGAAGAAGCTTTTGCAAACAAGGTCACTGAGAGACAAGTTTGCTTTGGAAAGCAGGAGGCCCAGAAAGGTTAAGAAGATAATGGCAAAAATGCTTTAGAAGTCCTTAAGCGTCATTTGCATACAAACACTTGGTGCCAGGACCACAAATTTATGTGTGCTTTAAAGCGGGTTCCCGAGCTCCTTTACTTGGCTACGTGTTTTTAGCTGACTTGGAAATATTGTTTGAGCTTGAAAATAAATATTCCTTGAGGACATTTAAAAATCTGACTGGCCTTCCACCAACTAGTCATTATTAGTAAGGTTTTACTCCATTCTGATAAAACACTGAGGCTAGTCATCCGTTTTTTTCCTTACCTTCTACTTGTAGCATCATAGACCTGGGACTGAATGGGGCCTCCGAGGCCACCAGTCAACCCTTCCATGTTTACTGTGGTGGAAATGAAAGCCAGGGAGAGAGTGACCTGCTCAGTATCCCACAAGGTAGTCAATATCAGAGGTGGCACTTGAACCCAGGTCCTCTGACTGTAGCCAGGGCTTTTCTCACTGTCTCACTTTGTAGATCTGGAGTCATTGTGAAACCACTTTCATCATAAAAACAGGAATGGAAATAAATGACCAGCCTTGTTGGTACAGATATTAATTGGGTGCCCCCAGGCAAGTTCCTTAAACACTCAGCTTCAGTTTTCTTCTCTGTCAAATGGGGTTAGAAGGGCGGCCAGACCTCAAAGCTCTATATCCATGCGAGCTACTAGAATTGCACACGACGCTGAAATCCAGACCCAACAGGCTCCTTGGTCTCTTTTCTCTTCCCCAGGAACAGCTAGACATTCCCATTCCCAAGTACTTTTTGAAGGAGAAGATGGAGGTACTGAGAGAACGAGAGAAAATCCTCGCTCGGATATTGGCCAATGCCGGCTTGGAAACTCTGAACCTGGTTTGTACCTGGTTTCTTTGCTTTTTCAAAAGCATGCTTTGTTTTAACCAGTTCTGTGGCTATTTCTGAAGAACTCTGTCTGCTTTGGTACTGATGGGAGAAGGTGGCAGACTTTTGGCACAATAAATACGAAGCTGAATAAGCCTTTTGACATTTCGTTTATCAGTGCTATTTGAAGAATCACAGAACACCAAGAAATCGGGTCATACGGTTAATCAATCAGCAGTTGTTTTTTAAATGCTTGCTTTGTGCCAGACTCTGGGTTAGGCTCTGGGCATTCAAAGACAAAAATGCTGTCAAGAAGCTTACGTGTCGCAGGAGGAGGTAATGTGTGTATGTATGGGTGAATGAAGGGAGGTTGGTAAGGGGGAGGTCAAGGGAGATTTATTAGTGGTAGAATTAGTGGCATATTATAATAGTAGAGACTTCCTGCAGAAGGTGCTTCTTCAGCTGAGTTTGAAGAAAGCAAAGAATTCTGAGGTTGAGGTGAAGAGAGAGTTAATTCCACGTAGGAAAGACAGCCATGGGAGAGGCAGAGGCTTGTAATGAAGTGTCCTGTGGGAGGAGCAGTGAGCCGCCATTCTGGGGGCTTGTGGAGTTTGTGAAGGGGAGTGTTGGATAATACAGCTGGAAAGGCAGGTTGAGGCGAAGTTGAGAAGAGCTTTAAATGACAAACAGAAGAATTTGTATTTGATCCTAAAGGCTACAGAGAGCCATGGGAGTTGATTGGGTAGGGGAGTGACATGGTCAAACTGAAGGAAGGAAGGGGGGGAGGGAAGGATGGAGGAAACAAGGAAGGAAGGAAGGGAGGGAGAAAGGAAAGAAAGAAGGGAGGGAGAAAGGAAAGAAAGAAGGGAGGGAGGGAGGAAGGAAAGAAGGGAAGGAGGAAGGAAGGAAAGGAGGGAGGGAGAAAGGAAAGAAAGAAGGGAGGGAGGAAGGGAAGAAAGAAGGGAGGAAGGAAAGGAGGAAGGAAAGAAGGGAGAGAGGGAGGAAAGAAGGAAAGAAAGGGAGGAAGGAAGGAAGGAAGGGAGGGAGGGAGGAAGGAAGGAAAGAAGGGAGGGAGGAAAGAAGGAAAGGGAGGAAGGAAGGAAGGAAGGGAGGGAGGGAGGGAGGCTTCTAAATGTTGTTTACATACAAAATACAAGGGATCAATACAGTTAGTAGTTACCAAAGGTTCACCAAACATAAAATATCCATTTTGCTACTAGTTTTGAAAAGGAGAGATTGACCTCAAAGTTTGGGCTGAGAATCATTCATATAACCTTGAACTAACATAGTAGGCATTTGAATTTATTTTTGCCTCCACGGTTCCTCCTCTGAAAGGAGTGTGGTATTGCTCAAATGATTATGTCATGAGGTGATTGAGCAGATGTCGTTAGGAAACACTTGCCTGGCCAGTGATCGAGCTGGGCCTCATAAGATGCTCATGTCTGCAGCTGTCAGCTCTCCAGCACAGTGACATAAAGCGATGTGTTGTTGTCAGTAGAACTCCAAAGCAGCCACAGCCCATGTTTGCCTAGAAAGGAAGAAGGCAGGGGAAGAGGGAGGACGTGTCTCAAAGTTGAGGATTCCTTGGAAGACCGGAGATAATTGCTGTTTGCTGTTTTGGTTTGGATTTGGGTTTGGCCGAGAATATAACAAGTCTCCTGATGACTGATCGTTGGCTCCTGGGCAGAGTATTGTCTGCAGACAGAAAAAGAGATGCACGAAAGAGGAAATCTGGAAAATTAGAAGAAAAATAGATAAATTGGAAACAAAAGTGACTGATATAGAGGGAGAAGAGAAATGTAACCCATTGGGAACTGCAGATGATATAAAAACAAAAAATACCAATACAAATGTTTCTTTGAAAAGAAAAGGTCACTGCAAAAGCTACCTCAGTATGTTCTAGCCTGGTGACAGAGATGATAGGCCATAAAATGTGTCCAGCAACCAAACAGTGGTTTGTGGTCTGTGGCAGCAGAGGTAAGGGGAACCCCAAAGAATCAGCTGAGGAGTTCTGTTTCAGCAGAGAGAATTCTTCTGGTGACCTTTAAAGACTTCATGTCTTTGTGTTTCTTCTATAGGAAATGTAGACGTACACACACATATGTGTCTATATATAGTGTATATCTCTCTGTGCGTACATACATATTACATATACACATATTACAATATAACATAGATGCATATCACACATGTATGTATTACATATACATATACTAAACAATAATGAATTTTCCTACTGGAGAAAGCAAAAATGCTGGAGAAAGGCCTTTTTGCTGTCCAGTCTATGAGGGCTGAAGGTGCCTCAACAGAAAGGAATAAAATGTTCCTGGTGGAAAATTAAGACTCTTAAAACTGAGAAAGGGCTACAAAGTTATGTCAAGAGGTTGAAGAGTAGAAAAATATGAGCTAGAAAATGACAGGAAAACTCTGTACATCAATGGCCCTCTGGAACAGGTCCCTGCTATGGAGCAGGACTGGAGAACTCACGAGGAAGGAAGAGTTACTTAGAAGGAAGAGAGGCCCAGGTGCCAGCTGCAGTGACTGAGGGCATTCACTTCAGGTCACACGAGTCAAGTCAAGCATTTATTAAGCTCCAGTTTTGCGGAGGGATTGGTGAAGGTGATCCTCCTTGCCGAAGTCTGTGCTGATCCGGCATTAGCATGCTGACTTGGTTATGACCAGCCAGGAGACAGGCTATTTTTTCTGGGCTGCGTATCTAGAAAGTGATGGAAATTTGCCAGACTGGATGGCAGCTGTCCACTTCTTGTGATTCATGTAGGAATGAATAATAAAGCTGTAAGGAACATGAAAAGAATCCTAGAGATTCTGAAATTGTGGGCAAGAAACGGGAACCTGGTGGGCAGGGAGCTCAGGGAGTAAAGAATGTTCCGTTATTCTTTCTGGCTGACAGTAGGGATTTGAGAAGAGAAAGGAAGATACCAGAGGGGAATAGCCAGGTGAAAAATGGTGTCTGAGACCGTAGCTTAAAATAGAAGAATCTCAGAGTTGAGAGGATCTCAGGGATCCCAGATGATTCCTGAGGAAGTTATTCCCTCTCCATCATATCTGGCAAGTGGCCTTTGCATGAAGACTCCCAGCCAGGAGAGGGAGTCCTCCTCCACCAGTCCCTGAGGTGCCCTGTTCCATTTTTGGATAGCTCTGATGATTAGGAAGTTTTTCTTGGCATTAGGCATGCATTTCCCTCTTTTGCAGCATCTACCTATTTCTCTTGTTTCTGTCCTAAGAGACCAAATATTAGTTCATTGTCAAATGAGATCATATTTGTAAAGAAAAGTGCTTAGCACAATGCCTGGCACGTAGAAGCACTAGATAAACATTTATTCCCTTCTCTGCCCAAACAGAAAAAGCCTAATCTCTCTTTCATATCATAACTCTTCAACATTGTGAAGGCAGCTATCATGTTCTGCCATCTTGTAGTCTCTAAGCTAAAGATCTTCAGTTTTTTCTACCTTCCTTAAAATGTTTCCCCATTCTGGCTGCCCTTCTCGGGGCACTCTTCAGTTCACTCACATCCTCCTAAAAAGGTGAAACCCAGACCCTAAGCACAGCCCTCCAGATGTCACCTGTCTGGGACAGAATTGGATGGCACTCTCACTTCTTATTCCTGGATGCCATGCCTCTCTCTGAATGTCACTTTCTCGTATTTGCTTTCTTGGCTTTCATACCACACGGTTAATGCTTGTTGATCTCGAAGTCCACTAAGAAGCTTCAGGTCTCTTTTCAGATGGACTGCTGTCTATCCATGCCAGTCTTAATGTAGCCTCGGATGGTGTTCATTTTCTTGGCTGCCGCACCATACTATTAATGTGCCTTGACCTTGTAGTCAGCCAAAAAGCCCCAGCTACCTTTTCAGACAGACTGCTGGCTGCTCATGTCTCCCCCATCTTGGACTTCTGAAGTCAATTTTTTTTTAAAGTCAAGTGGGATTTTACATCTGTCCCCATTAATTTGATCACATTCCATTTGGTCAAGTGCTCCAGCCATTCAGAATCTTTTTGGACCCTCACCCTTCATGTGATATGTTGGTTTTCCTGCCCCTTTTGTGCTATCTGCAAGTTTGACAAGCATGCCATTTATCTCCTTTATTCAAATCATGGATAAGAATATTCAGCAACAGGGCCAAGCAGAGATCTCTGAGGCGTTCTACCAGAGACCACCATGCAAGTTGACATGGCACCACTGATGCCTACTCTTGGGTTCTGACCACCCCGGTCCAAATCTTGGAACAATTCTGTTGACTAGCCCATCTTTATCTCGAGCATATCTTGAAATGCTCTGTTCAAATGCTTTGCTAAAATCCAAGTAAACTGTATCCACAGTTTCCCTCATCCCAGAAAAAGACATGAAGGCACATTGAGAAATGTTGTTGATGTAGCAGCCTGCCCTTTGTGTGCACTACTTCCTTTTCTAATAATCCCTCATGACCTTTTTGATGCCTGGGGAACTTCTAGAAGATGTTATTGAAGTTGTGCTCATTGATATGGAGTTTGCAGATTCCACTCTCTTCCATTTCTTTGCAACTAGACACCTGGATCTCTCTGGTTTTGCAGGAACTCTCCTGTTCTCCATGATCTTTCAGATACACCTGGCAGAGGTCCCGTGTCACAACTGCTAGTTTTTCAGAACCCAAGGAAGTCATTCAGTTGGGCCAGGGGACTTGTTATCAAGGACAACTAGGTGCTCCCCTGTTATGGCCTTCCTTATTTGGCATGTCAGTCAAGGAGTGTGCTGGTAAATGTTTAACAACCAACTCTCTGGGGGACGAATGTGTGCACAACACAGTTTTATGTTTAATCTGTGTTATTGATGTTTTTCTCCATCATTTTACTAAATCATGACAGCAAAACAATAAAGCAAACCCTATTTTGTAGTGTATTCTCATTTCCAAGGTGTAAATTCTCATACTGAAAATTTAACCATCAGGTCTTATAAGTTGGTTTCAGCTGGCTGTAGCACACCACTTCCCTATTAGCCATGTTTGTACCAGTCTAAATCTCATTATCCCGGGCAGAAAAATACAGAATCCAAATGAAAATTGAGCATCTCTTCCTCCGCTCCATTGTGAGTTATCACGATCCCTTCTTTGGGCCACCTTTAAAAAAGGAAGGGATTGTAAAATCCCTTCTTTGTTTCCTCTCCCTTTTCTTCCTGGCTCCAACTTGTTCTGAGATCTGGCCTCCTGACACTTGTGCCATACTTTGGAGGAATTCAGCCTCTCTCACCTGGCCTTGCTTCCAATGGTTCTTCAATGAAACCATTTTTCCATGTGTCTTCCAAACTCCTTTCTTGCTCACTTCCCATCTCTTCTGGGATGAATGCCTTCCACTGGTGAATTCCATCCATAGGAGTTTCCCTAAGCTTGCTCTGAACCCTTTTGTAGATGGCTGATCAGGGGTGAAGTAAGAACGTCCATCCACATCCATCACTTTTGGGTGGAGGCGAACATTTGGAAATGTGATTGTTTCTCTTCTTTGAAAGATGTCTAGTGCCTCTTGGGGAATATGGAGAGCATCTCCTTGGGCCATGAACTTGTCAACCTATTCATTAGTCACCCCTCATTAAGGAGTAGTGATTAGGTCTCAATTAATGAGGTTAATTTGATTAGGAGTTGTCCAAGGGAGTCACCCTTTTAACTGACCCTATAAAAGGGAGTCATTCAAAATAAAAGTGGGTGGGGAAGTTGTGGAATCTTTGTATTCAGCACCATCTAATTAGATGGGGAAGGGAAAAAAGGATGAAATGTCGACGGAACATCACTCCCCTACATGCAAAGCACTGAGGGCTCCCTATCGCCTCCTAGATCACATGCAATTTGCTATTTTTCAGTCGTTTTCAGTTGTGTCCGACTCTTCATGACCCCATGTGAGGTTTTCTTGGCAGACATACTGGAGTGGTTTGTCACTTCCTTCTCCAGCTCATTTTACAGATGAGGAAACTGAGGCAAACAGGTTTAAGTGACTTGCCCTGGCTCACACAGCCAGTAAGTGTCTGAGGCTGGATTTGAACTCAAGTCTTGCTGACCCCACATGAAAACTGTTGGACAGTTAAAGCCCTTGGCACTCTGGCTCTAACCTCCCATTACAGACTTATTTCCCCTTCACGAACTTTACGTTTCAGAAAAATGGAACTATTTTCTGATGAGAATATGCAACATTCCTTCTTGCCTTTGCCCATGACATCTCCTGTGCCTGGAATCCTCTAGGGATGCTTAGCTTTCTTCCCAGCTCAGCTCAAGGACCACATCCTACAGGAGGCTTTTCCAAATCCCCCAGCCTTCGGTAATGACTCAGTACTTACTCCGCATTCTTTGTATTAACTTATTCATCTACATGTTGTTTCCCTCAGTGGAATGCCGCTCCCTGAAGGCAGGGCTGTCTTCTTTTTTATCCTTGTGTCCCAAGTGCCTAGCACCTAGCAGGTGCTGAATCAATGCCTGTTGATTGATTAAAAGGACTAAAATGGCTTTTAAAAAGGATTGGGGGGCAGCTAGGTGGTGCAGTGAATAGAGCTTCCAGCTTTGCAGTAAGGAGGACCTGAGTTCAAATCTGACCTCAGACACTTGACACTTACTAGCTGTGTGACCCTGGGCAAGTCACTTAACCCCATTGCCTAGCCAAAAAAAAAAAAAAAAACAAAAAAAAAGGGATTGGGAAGCCCCTTCCCCCCACTCTCCCAGGGAATGTTTGATGTCTGTGTCCCTTGCCCATTGATGCTCCCTGGGGCACTTTTGCTTAATGCAATTCACAATATGAGGGGAACATTTTTCCCTCAAGATTAGGATTTTCTAGTATTAAAAATGAGTGTATTTATATATTAAAAATGATGTTAAAAAATGTCTCCTGTTGTGCCCAAGTGTTGGTCCTTGGATGCCTGTTTATTTTGTCCTTAAATAATTGGGGGAAAGAAGCGATCAATGTTCCTTGGTTCCAGGGGAAACACTGTTTTCCCACCTTTTGTCCTCATGAACGTGATCTCAGGAATAAAGGTCATGGTAATTTCTGAAATTATTATTTGTGGATGGTGTGTTCCATGAAGGAGTTGTCTACTGTCCATTGCAGAAGCTGCCTCTGAAGGTCATGTCCCTGGAAGAAGCTGTGAAGCTGATCCAGATCTCAGAGAGAGCCCGGCAAGGCCGCCTGAGAGCCGTCTTCATGAAGCAGATCTACCATCAACATGTCAGAGAGAAACAAACCCGGCTTCGTGTGGAGAAGATCACGGACGTGGGCTCTGCTGCCGTCCAAATTCAAAAGGTGCTTGTCTGTCTGTCTGCAGGCGGGACGGGAAACTGGCGTGGGCCAGCTAGACACTCATGGGCCTGGGGATGAGACCACTGGTGGCCACTCTGTGAAGAGGCCTGACTTGGGCCACATGCTCACTGATGATATGCATGTGCCCCCCTGCACCATCCTGAGGTTTAATTCCAGGAGGCTTAACTAGTCTTGTGTCGGGGAAATGGCCAACTGCTCCTTTGAGCAGATACGAAGGCTTGCACCTCAGAGCTATTCCCCTCACGCTTCTTAGGTGGATATTGATGCTGGGGTCAGATAGTGAGATTTGATGGAGTGAGTATAAAAGACTACATGAGCTGAGAATTGGCAAATGACCTTAGCTAGTTCTTAGAACTGTTTTTATTTTGTTTTGTTTCAGTTTTTGGTGGGGGAGGGAGGAGGTAACCTGTATCTGGGATTTGTTGGTACAGGAATCTCCAGTGAGAGCCAGCATGGCGTCATAGAGAGGAGCCTGGAGTCAGAAGGACATTTACTAGATGGTGACCCAGGAAAATCACATTCTCTCAGCCTCAGTTTCTCAATTGCCTTATCTGTATAAACTGAGGAAATTTGGTTTGATGTCTTTCAAGGTCCCTTCCTGACCCAAATATATGGTCCTAAGAGGTGTGGACCAGTCTCACAACAAATTCCCTCTGATATTAAAAATGGGCTGCTTTTAGGTAATCTTGAGAGATTCTAGGGTGTCTTCAAGGTTAAATGACCTGCTCAGTGTGTGTCAGAAGTGGGCCTTGAACCCACATCTTCCTGACTCGACCATAAGGCCTGTAGCCATTAAGTCATTCTCTTTCTTTCTTAGAAGTTATTTTTTCAAAAATAGGAGCCACACGCTCCTTCCCTTCCCAGATCAAATTTTCTTTCATTTCATCACCATTACCGATGAAGAGTCTGTTGGCATGGAGGAAATGACCTCTCAACCAGGATCCCGAATGCAAAGGGAGGAAGTGATGTGAGACCTTTATCTCGTGCCAATATAGACTCAGTGAAGTAAAAGTCAATTCAGCTAACACTGGGCAGTGGCTTGGGCCAGTGGCCGTGTGACTGCCAATTATAGTGAAATCAGTTGTGAGGTGAAAAGTTCCTCCTCTGAGAGTTCTGCCTTCAGGGACCCGGAGGAAATATCCTGACTTCATGACCACCATGGAGCCAGCATGCCTGCTGGGGAAGGGCTGGTGGCGTAGTATGGGTAGTTTTCTTTTAGATTATAACCAGCCCATTGATCTAACATTCCTGTTTCTAATCTAGTTGTGGCGCTCATTCCACCAAAGTAGGACAGCTGCAAAGGAAAAGGAAGACGAAATGGTATTTCTAGGAATGGTGAGTCTACATGCAAAAAGTGACACTTTTACCTGGTTTAATTTCTGTTAGTCACCTCTCTCTGTCTCTGCTGTTTCTCTGTCACTTTTTTTCACTCTCTCCCACTTTCCGTCCCTCTCTCTTCCTCCCTCGCCCTGTTTCTGTCTCTGTCTCTTTCTGATTTGATGGGAAATCTCTAATATCTTCATTTTAGAGGGTTTTTTAAGTTTAAGAGGATTTTTTTGATCAAAGAAATGGAGACCAAAATGACCAGTGGTGGAAAGTCTGGACTGGCTTTCATTAATGAATGTTTGGCTAAAATGATTGTGTCTGGTCCCCGGCACTCTGTATCTCCCTGGAATGTGTTTGCCTGGAATCTCCTGTACCTTGGGAATTCTCTTCCTCCTCCTTTTGGGTTCTTGAGGTCCCTGGTTTCTTTCAGGGCTTATCTTAAGAACTTTCTTCCACTTCTGACCATGCCTGACTTTCCAGAGATTTTAGTGTCCTATGCCCCTTGGCCATCATCTCCAAGGGAGGATGGGGAATGTTTGGTATTTACTTTGGGTTGTTACATTGAAATTTCTGGGTACATTTTGCCCAACATGGCATGGCATCTCTCCCTATATGTCTCTTTCTGTCCCCTCTTGCAGTCATCACTCTACTACAAGCCCTGGTCTGGGGACTGCTGGCTCCTGTCTCATGGTCATTTGTGCCAGAGAACTGCAGATTTCGAACTTCCCTGGAGTTCCTCGTCTGAGCCCTCTTTCCTTCTGCCCCAGACTTAGAAAGCTATAGGCTTCAGAGCCCCTAGGAGGAGTATCTGGTCTACATGGGCAGGCTTCCATCTTGTTTCCCCATACCCACATTGGCTTTTCTGGCACGATCTCTTTCCTATTGCGCAGAGGCTTCTGGCTGTTTTGTGGCACAGTCCTGGGGCCAATGACATTTATTTTAGTTCCTCTTTAGATTTTTCATTGCTACTCAGCCCAGTGCTTTTTTGAATGTTTGCTGTAGTGTACATGTATGAGCTGGGCTCCTCTGAGACATTCCCAGAGACATTATCATGACAAATCTTCTCTGTCATTGCCAGGTGACACCTCAGCCCAGGCCTCACCCTCCTCCCATGGCAGAATGTCGCCAGCTTCTGAATGAGGAGGGGATGTGCCATTCCCCCCAGAGAAGCACTCACAGAAGTAGCCTTCTCTGCCACCACAGGAATCACTCTCCCTAGCCGCCAAGCCAAATGTACCCTTGGTTTGATGCCAGCGCTGGGGGCAGGTCCCAGACCATGTACAGTAGCAGGCATTGAGAGAACCTTAGAAAGTGTTCACTTCAATCCAGCAGACAGAGGGAAAGGTCTGAGCCAAAGTCCAATGGTGGAAACCTCCAAGGACCCTTCAGAAATGTTCACTAGATCCCTTGAGTTTGGAACAGAGATTCATGCAGGGTAGAAAGACTAGAAAGATTGGAAACATCTGAAAGTTAGTCAGTGAATATGATTCAGTTCTTATGTTGTTCCAGGTACTGTGCTAAGGGCTGGGGATTCAAAGAAAGGGAAAACCAATCCCTGTACATTCTAGTGGAGGATCTGGCATGTAAATAAGTGGATACATACAAGATATGTGGTTAGCTGTTGTCCTTTGTTCTAGAAGAGGATCAAAATGACATCACGAGGTTGGAGTCAAGGTGCAATGTGTCCGACTGTGGCTGACCAGACCTAGATGAGCCTGGGACGCTCACTACCACACGTCGGGCTCAAATGATCCATGTGAACCTTTGGAGTGGAGAGATGGCTCTAAATTTGCACATCTCACATTTCTTTTGCACTACCACAATCCTGCTTTGCCCATACAGTGCAGAACCTTCTCTGACGGGGGCACACTACGCTGGGAGGCCTGGTGCCAACGTCTCCCGTGTCATGCAACCAAGGCCCAAGTTCTTCAGAGAGGCCTGGAGAGTGTCCTTGTCTTGCCTCCTCTGTCCGCCCTATGAGCACCTGCCTTGTGTGCGTTCTCCACAAAATGGTCTTTTAGGCAGCTTACGTTTGGCGTTTGAACAACGTGGCTGGCCCGTCTGAGTTGCGCTCTCTGCAGTAGAATTTGAATGCTTAGCAGTTCAGCTCAAGAAAGGCCCTCAGTGTCCAGTGCCTTATCTTTCCAGATGATCTTCATAATCTTCCTAAGACAGTTCAAATGGAAGCAATTCAGTTCCTCGGCATGGCGCTAGTATCGTGTCCAGGTTTCACAGGCATCCAACAATGAGTTCAGTATAATGGCTCTGTAGACCTTCAGCTTGGTAGTCAGTCAAATATCCCTTCTCTCCCACATTTTTCTTTGGAGTCTCCCAGACCCTGAGCTAGCTCTGAAAGTGTGTGTCAAACTCATCATCTGTGTATACAGCCCTGAAAAGTGCACTACCAAGGTGAGTGAGCTTACCCACAGCACGCAAAACTTCTCCATTAGCAGTAACCGATGGTTCCACATGTGGGTGGTGTGGTTCTGGCTGGTGGAGCACTTATGTTTTCTAGGTGTTAATTGTTAGGCCCTAATTAGCATAAGTGGCATAGAATTCATCCATATTCTGTCAGATCTCAGCCTGAGAGGTTGCATTGAGTGCACAGTCATCTGCAAACAAAAAATTATGCACCAGATCTCCCTCCACTTTAGTCTTGGCTTGTAGCCTTTTCAAGTTAAATAATGTACCATGAGTGCAGAAGCTATCCTTGATGCCGTGTTCATCCTTTTTGACAAAATTGCTTAAACCATCATACTAAAAAGCATGGGTGCAAGCACAAAGCTCTCTTCACTCCTCTGGTGACTGGGAAAGCGTGAGAACTTTGTCCATTATCCAGGACCCGGGCACGCATGCCATCGTAGAACTGGAGTACAATACTGATGAACTTTTCCAGGCAACCAGATTTTGACATAATTTTCCATAATTTTCACAACTGACAGTATCAAAGACCTTGATCAAATCAATGAACACTGTGTTCAGACCTCTGTTCTGATCTTCGCATTTCTCCTGGAGTTATCAGGCAATAAACACCACATCGACTGTTCCCTGGACCTTTCTGAAGCCACACTGGCTCTCAGTTAGATGACCATCTTCCAGGTGAAGGATCAGCCTATTAAGGAGGACTCTGGCAAGAATCTGACAGCAGTGACTAAGAGAGAGAACCCCCTGTGATTGTCATAGGGCAATCTGTTTTCTTTATCTTTATTGAGGTGGACAATGGAGACATCCTTGAACTCCTGGGGGCTAACCTCCTCTTGCCATATGACTCAGAAAATGTCTATTAGTTTTTGAATGAGTGGTGGACCCCCTGCCTTGTAAGTCTCATCTGGAATAGAATCAGCCCCAGTCACTTTACCACGTGAGAGGGGCCACATGGCATTCAAAATCTCTTAGTCAGTTAGAACTTCAGCTAGAGAGAGATTGACTGCAACCTGAGGTATATGGTCAATGAATTCAGCATTGATTGATGGCTGTCTGTTGAGAACACTATGGAAGTGTTCCTCCTCTCTCTCCAGTGTCATATCCTTAACACTAATCAATGTGACTCCATCAGGACTGAGTAGTTGAGAAGCACCATAGGTCATTCTCCCATAAATAGCCTTCAGGGTGTCATAAAAGTGTTTTAAATTGTTACTATCAGCATAAAACTGAATTTCATCTGCCTTCTTATTGAGCCAAGTGTCCTGGATCTCTCTAAGCTTTGCCTGTATTTCACTTTTGATAGAATTAAAGGCTGCCTTCTTAGAGACAGATGAATGATCCTTCTGGTAAACCCTACAGAGTTCTCACTTTTCTTTTTGCAGCTTCTGAATTTCATCATCATTTTCATCAAACCAGTTTTGATATTTGTGAGTCTTCTGGCCTCTACGCGTAAATGTGGTGCTGTACACCAAATCTCTGAAAGCTGCCCACTCCTTTTCTGCTCCTGCCAACTGTGTGTTGTCTCAGTTTTTCCTCCAAGTTAGCAATAAACTGTTCTTCCTTGGAGAAGGACTATAATCAGTTGACATCAAGTCTTCTGGTAGTTGTCTTGCCTTGGGGCCGCTGCTTTTGTTGAATGGGAATATTTAGCTTAGAAAGGATAAGTCCATGATCAGTCTAGCCTTCTGCACCACACATTGCCTTCGTCACTCTCACATCCTGTCTGTCTCTTCTCCTTGCAATCACAGTCTATTAAATGCCAATGTTTGCTGCGAGGGTGCATCCATGAAGTTTTGTTGAGTTTAGTTAAACAGAAGAACGTGTTGGTGATGAGAAGGCCACGAGATGCACAAGTCTTCAGTAGTAAGTGACCACAGCTGTTGTTGTTTCCAACTCCATTCCTCCCAAGAACTCCCTGCCAAATCTGCTAGTCTGAGCCTCCTCTGGCATTAAAGTCACCCAGAATTAGAAGCTTGTCCTCTTTTGGCATATTGATGATAAGGGTCTTCAGGTCTTCATAACATTTTCCTTTGACCTCATCAGGGTTCTTTATGGTGGGAGCATAAGCACTGGTGATGATGACATGACATTTTCCTGCAAGTAGCAATTGCTTGTTGACTAAATTAGTTTTGATTGCAAAACCTATGCCAGCCTCATGGCCCTCCACTTCACTGTGACCACTCAAGAAAAAAATATATCTAGATTTTGGCCTTCATTTACCAGCCTTGTTTCACTCAGGTCTGCTATTTGGCTGTGAAACCTGCTGTGTTCTCTCCAACCAAGAGCTGCTCATTTTTCAGGTCTGCTGGATTTTGTGCTATCCATAAGCATGCACACATTCCATATACCAATGGTGAGTGGAATCATCTTTGCAGGAGTTTTGTAAATTTTTTGTGTTTTAACCATATGGGATCCCCACTTGCCATAGTAAACAGGCCAGAGTTGGGTAAGCAGACAATTTTTCGGGCACCTTTTCTAGCCCCTTCCTCACACTGTGAGGTGAGCAGTGCAGTCCTTAAAAGGCTCCTCAGACACCCAGGGGGTTGCTGAATCTTACTGCTACTTCCATTAAGAACGTGACCCTA